CCCCCTGTCCCAGACGCGGGGAATGCGGTTGGGCCAGGGCCTTCTGAGGCACTGGCCAAAATGATTCCATCCCAGTCAGGGTTCCCGTTACCGGCTCTCTGCAGGTTCCCAAAACCCCAGCACACTCCCGCTATAGTGAGCCCACGGAGTCGGGTTGGCCCGAGAAGCCTCCTGTCGCCAAACCTTCCACATTTTATGACCCAGTGACGCCCCCACCGGGGGTCTCTTGGACCTCTGAACCCATCCCAGCCCGACTGGGGCCATGGGAGCCCCCTAGTGGAGGTCGATGTCCTGCCGGATTCCAGCCCACTTTCAAATCCTCTAACACTCTGCGGCTGCGGACACTACTAGGGGACCCCAGGTAATGCTCAGTGCTGTATCAGGCTCTTGAGGCCCTGATCACAGCGCAGCTAGAGCAACCCTAGCGCCCTTCTCAGGAACGGAGGGCAGAGACCGTTGTATTGAGTCCCCCCAAAATCCCCAGCAGACCCTAAGTCCAGAGTGCTCCCCTTCTGATGGCTTTAAATTGCCTTAAATTGTCTTATTGATTCCACATGGCCACAGCAGCCCCTATGCTGGGTGGGGTCTGGCACCCCTACCCCTCCAGAAACCCTGGACAGTGCTCAGGGCCCACGTGATGCTCACAGCTGGTCCCTGCCCCTTCCCTGCTTTGGCTCCCAGGGCTTTCCTTGGGCTGTTTGCCACACTCTTGATGGGGAAGCCAGTCAGGGATGGGCTGCTGAGGATGACCAAGGGGCAAAGGCAGGAAAAGGCAGAGAGCTCCTCACTGAGCGAAGGGCGAGGTTGTCCAAAAGCCTGGGCCTGGGTTCCCTGGCCTAAGGTGGTCACATGCAGCTTGTCAGTTATAAAATGCACCCACACCACATACTCTGGCATTTCTGGCTGGAAACAAAGTTTTTGGCTGTTGAGAAGGCAAGGAATCTGACTGTTGCTTCACTTTCATGCTACCTACTCCACAATTCCTGAGCTGCAGCTGAGTGAGCAGCTTTTGAAAGGAAGGGTAGTGTCAGTACAAGAGTCAGGCTGTAGGTCAAAGTCTGGCTGTGATGTGACAAGGCAATGGCACTCATGTGGCACAGAACCCTGAGTGGGACCCGAGTCAGTATTTGTAATGATTCAGACTAAACTTCCTCATCCTAAGACACCATGAGAGGAAGGCATGCTGTTATTTTGCAGATTATTGAAAAGGGAAAAATGCCAATGATCCTAAGACTCCCCTCAGTGCCTGAGGTTGCCTGAGGTTGTCAAAACATGAAGCCGAGAGACCACAGAAATGTGGCAGTGCTTGTGAAACCAGGAAATGTGCAGAGCTCTCTGGGCTCTGAGCTTGGCCTGTCCAAGAGCTGAAATGTGTTGCAGAGAGAGATTAGAACTTCACATGGCCCAGGAGGGTGCCAGGACCTTCCTCAGTGAACACCCTGCCCCCCACCCACCCAATGACCCCTTCTGTGGCACAGAGAGAGATGGAGGCAGAGCTTTTAAAATCATGGATGCTGCTTTATTTACCAAAGGGGCTGGCCCAGGGCTGGTTCTGCCAGCCAGGCCCTCAGACGGCCATAGTAGGTAGGGTGGGGGTGTCCCAGTTCAGTCTTGGTGGGCAAGGCCAAATCAGCCTCACCGTGGGGGCAGTGTTCCCTCCTGGGGCCCTTGTAGGGCTCCTGCCCAGCGGCAGCAGGGTGGGCAGCAGGTGCCAGCACCGCCGTCTCAGGAAGGCACTTTCAGCTTTGGAGTCCCCAGGAAGAACTGCAGGACGCGGTCGGCCAGGAGTGCCAAGCAGAAGTCCAGGAGCAGGACCTGGGCGATGACCAGCTTGAACTGTGGAGCAGGGAGTGCTGGTGAGTTGGGTGCCTGCTGATGGATCCAGGTTGAGTCCCAAGACCATGTCTAAGGGGCCACTCACCTCCACAGGGATGTCCACGAGTCCAAACTGGCTGTTGAAGTCAGGCGAGGAGCCAACTAGCAGGCCCACGATGGCCAGGAGAGACACGGCCAGGCTCCACACCAGAGGCCTGTTCTCGGGCAGGCTCTCCATGAAGGGTGGGCCCTGTGGGGACAAACGGATAGACAGCTGTGTGTTGTGGGGGCCCAGAGGGTGGGCAGGGTGTGCTCAGGCAGGGGCCAGGCCTCACCTTGTAGTTGATGGCGAAGGTGGCCATCTGCATGGCCATGGCCATGATGTACACTGTGCTGTTGACTAGGCTTGGCTCAAATTCTTTGTACAGGTCCACAAACTGCTCCTGCCTACAGGGAGACATGGGGGTCAGAGCCCCTGCAGAGAGCTAGGGCTCTGCTTGGCAGATCCTGCTGGCCTGGCCCTGGTCACCCAGGCCAACGCCAGTGTGTTCTTCCTGCCACCCTCTACCACAGGGATGCTGCCTCCTTTGGGAACACCCCATCCTACCCCAATGCAGGAACTCACTTCTCGGGGCTCCGGGCCTGGGCCTCACTGTACAGGTAGACGAGACTCACGAAGTGCACGCAGAACTGGAGCAGGACCGTGAGGATGGTATAGAGGTTGAAGATGTTGGGCAGGGGCCGCTCTCGGGAGAGGGTCTTGAGGGGCTGCAGCAGCAGGGTGGAGGTCAGGGCCCAGGGTCACCCTGCGGTCACCTGCCTACCCTGCTTCGTGGCAGGCCTTACAGAGAGTAGTCACCAAACTCTGGGGGTTATGGGTTGGCACCAGTCTCCAGAACCCTGCGCGCCCTCTAAACCTGCAGCCCAGATGCCATCCCAGCCTTGCTCAATGCCTAGGCTCTGTGCAGCAGCCACAAGGGGCTTAAGTTCCACCCCATCCTGGCTCTGGAATAAACTTAAAGCCCTCATTGTGGCTTACGGGGCGTGCATGGTCAACCAGTCCACCTTCCATCCTCCCTGGCCACCAGGGCCTCCTCGCATCAGCCCATGACCATCTTCGGAACATGCCCTTTCCTCCTAGCTCCTGTCCGGTTCCCACACTGGTTATGCACTGGTCTGAATGTCAGCATCACACAGGCTTCCCTGACCCATCCTGAGGCCACTCCCCACAGCCCGTGTGACTCACTTGGTGTTCTTCTCAGCACTGCGTACTTTCCGAGTGGCCTTGGTATTTGTTTCCCCATAGGTTCCCTCCACACCTGTGTGGCCCACCTGAGAACGCAGCCTGTGGACAGTGCTGGGTCCAAGTTGTGACACTCTGAAGCGCCTCAGAGGGCACCTACCCTGCCCCGATTCCCATTTGTAACTTGGGAATGATGGTTCCCACCCTGAGGGCTGCTGTGAGAACAAAACGGACAAGCAGTGACGCCTGTAAAAGCCTGCTCTGGCCCGAGCATTACTGGTCATCAATCCAAAAAGCCTCCCAGCACCACCGGGGCAGGCACTATGGCTCAGAAAAGCGCAGAGCACTGGGGGCTGGGGCGGGAGCCCCTGCTTTGCTCAGGGTCCTGGCCCACCTTGGAGCGGGAAATGAAGAGGAAACAGCCAGCCAGCAGCAGCCCCTGCAGCGTGGCCTGGAAGTCACTGAACTTGACTCCCTCCAGGTAGAGGACACTCTGGCTGTAGGCCAAGATGAGGGCATTGAGCGCCAGGATCTTGAACATCTGCAGCGTGGTCACCAGCGTGCAGCGGCCCTGCTTGATCACGTGGCAAACTGTGAGGGAAGGCAGGTGTGGGCATGGGTCCAGGTGGGACGGGTCTAGGGATGGGACAGGGGAGGAGCAGGGAGCAGGACTCACTGCACTGGATGGAGGAGAGCTTGGAGGTGAAGGGCGCTGCGATGCTGGCATCCCCCAGCTTCACGATGGGTGTGCTCTCGTCCTCCAGGTCCCGCAGCACCTGGCTCAGGCGGTCCTGTGAGGCAGGCAGCAGGGGGTGAGACCTGACCACAAGGGGGCGCTAGTGCTCCCCTTCTGAGACTCACCCGATGGGAGGCCAGCTGCTCCTCCGGGGGTGGGAGCCCCGACCTCTGCTTGGCCACTCTGGAGGTGGCCCTGCCTCCACTGTTGCTCAGGACGGGGCTGTCCCGGGGCCGCCGCCGCCGCTCGATGACCCGCTCAGGGGCGTTGGCCAGGAGGGCCACACCTGGTGGGAGAGTGTGTGTTAGAAGCCAGAGGGAGCCTGTCACCCCAGGCACCCCAGGTCTGTGAGGCCAGCATGGAGCATAGACCGGAGGGTCTGCTCAGTGCAGCTAGAGACCTCCCCATCTCACCCAACCACCCATCCCCAGAAGTGCCTCAGAGAGCCTGTCTTACTTTCCACAAACTACTTGAAAAACAAAACCCAGATAAAGCATGTAACACTAGACAGATCAAAACTGATTTCCAACAAAGGGGGTTCCCACTCTCCCAGAGGTCCTGGTGGCCCCTGCCACACTGTTCCTCACACACTTGTGTCCCTTCCTGGCCTTAGAGCCCTTCAGATCCCTAGTCCCACTGGCCCCTGACCCCATACCCTCACTACTGCCTCCTGGCAGAACTTGCCCAGTGATGTGTCCCTGATGCTATGCCAGTGTTGGC